ATTGTAGGTAGGTAGGTAGGTTTGGACACATATTCAGACACACGAAGACATAACACAATCCGCCCAACAAAATGTTGACGGCGGCTTTGTTTTCAACAGACGATTTGTGACTTAGTCGCCAGGTAGGTACTACAACCGCTGGGCCACATAGTCGTTGGACTCTGACTATTGTAAATAGTTTTCCTTGTTTGATATTCAGGTTATTAGCAGAAAAAACTACGCCAGTCCATTGCTCCAGTGCAGGTGCAGATATTTCACATTTTTTTTATTTTAAATATTTATTTTCGCGCGAAAATCACCCGATAAACAAAAATCCGAATGAGGGAATGTTTAATATGTTAAAAAGATTGTACTTCGAGTTCCGTTTATCCGTTTCCTTATACAAGAAATATCTCGTTCCGCATAACTTTCCTATATAATTTAGTACAACTTATGGATAATGACGTCGTGTTGTGATTACGCTGGTAATATTTACATGCAATAAGATATTTTATCAGGCACAGTCGTTTCGTTGTTTCTTTTAGTAAGTATCAGTTTTACTAAGAACAATGAGATACAATGTTTAAAAGACAAATTTTGGTTTCGATAGTAATTTTATTGGCTTAAAATATATTATGTTCACGCAGAACATTGCATGTAAAATGTACATGTCGACTGTTTTAGCTCAAATCTCTTTTTTTACGTACGCTTATGGAAGAGTGTATTCATCCTCCCACGAATAGTAAAAATAAAAAATCCCTTCTCAGGATGAACCGTCTCACGATTGGTCATTTACATTGTCAGTTATTTTAAATCATGATTAATTATTTTAAGGAATCGTCAACAATAATATTAATTAAACTGTGTTCAGATATTATCTGTTTTAATACAAAGTATGTTTTTTTGACAATCTCGAGTTTAAACCATGGTTTAAGAATAGTTCTTTTATTAAAAGAAGTCTCTGAAATTTGATGGTTGTAAAGCTAGGCTGCTGTTATATTATAGATGTAGTACGATCGTATCCGCTCGACTGGGGAAGGACCACGCTCTAAGAAAATACCAGCGTAAAATATATCAGCTTAATGCTGCTGTTTCGTATGGTGGCTATAGATAACCAGAGATCCTTTTTGCTGGAAACGAAGCATTCCATCTTACTCCTCTGCATCTGCATTTTGATTCTTAATCGAAGATAGATGTAGATTTCTATGTGCCAGAGCATCCACTTAGCATCAAGTGGACTGTGTGCTTGTTTGTCACCCTCAATCTTTTTTACATTTTAGTTTGCGTATTTCCGCAGGACTTCTTTCGTGAAACAGATTTTAGTTCAAACCTGAAAGTAAATATGATCAAACTTCGACAAAATAAATAACAGAAATCAAAGTAAAAAAATTAAAGTGAAACAGCAACACTATAAATGTTCCATTAATTTGCATTTTTAGAGGGCATATCGTAAACAAAGAAAAAGGTATACTTGATTTTTGTTATATATCTTAAACGAACGTGAGTTTTAGTGAAACTGCTCAAAAACGAAAATATATTAAAAATTTAGTTTAAAATGTAATTAAAGGCGTAAATTTTAACCTAACATTATAAGCCCTTGATATATAATTACACTCTCTTTTTGTTATTATATAATGTGGTTTATTGCGAGTCTCGGATTAGAACTTTGGTATAAGAAAAGTCTCTCTCACGAGAGAAGACTCATAGCTGAGGCTCTAGTCATTTTGACATTTAAAATTTTTGCGAATTGCAATTTAACATTTGCTGCCAAATGCCATACTTTACATTTTTTTTCTTTGGCTATCGACTCTATATACATATTTTATTTTATTTTTAAATAATTATATTTTGTTTCTAAACTTCAAAACTTCTTCACAATATGCCGATGCGTCACATCCAGAGGTTGAGAGATGTTGACGATAGCTTAACCCAACAGATCGTATCTCTAGTTCTTATAGCGCCTAAGCAGACAAAATAACTTGAGGTTTATATCAACATTGGGGCATTTATTTCGTCGTTTCCACTAATAGTTCACATGCGCAGACAGTACACAAAATCGCATCACTTTTGCTTATTATTATAAAATTCACTTCGTATTATTTAAACGATAAAACAAGAGCAACAATCCGGCGGCGATCAATTTCCCGCCAAAATTCTGCCATTTTATTTCGCAAATTTTCCACGGAACTTATTTCTTAGAACAAACTCTAGTTTAAGCTAGAGAATAATTATAAACTTCTCTTTATAACTTGAGTCTATATTTACAAACTAGTATTCAAAGTATAAAATTTCCAATGTCCCACAACAGTACATGTGGAAATCCCGCAAAAGTACAAGTAAACAGATTAACATAGAACCTATTCTTGTTACCTTAAAATAAAGTAAAGAAATAAAAAAACAACTGGAATGCTGCTATTAAGTTAAAAAGGTATTATAAGTACGTTCTTTACCTATTGCTATTCTATATAATTATATAGCTGACGAGTCAATGTTCAGTCCCACTCCGGATCCTTATAGAACTAGATTTTATTGAGCGAACTTATTTCCTTTATACGCCATGGCCTTGCGCGTCGAGTGCATTAAGACGCATGACACCTGCACTTGCATGAACGCTATAAGCCGATACATACCATAATGACGGGATTATTACGATATTGGAGATGTCATGATGATTAAGCCATAGCAAATCAACCGCAAAATTATATAGCAAATGCTAGGCACTGTATGAAACTGTGATAAACGTTGTGGATCCTGTGCATAAATTCCAGTTGTTCGTTTACGTGAATTTACACATGTATGAATTTCAGGTGTCTGAATGTAATAATATTGCCTATATATTCGACATTTTAATCGACTTACACGAGCGTATTCATTAGGTATTTATGTGAGCCGTGGTAGTGTAGGGCCTAAGCGCTCCCTGAAAATTTCACAGCGCGAGGACCTCGGGTTCAATCCCCACCGGCACCAATGAAAATGTTCGTTGCAACTTTAACTGCTGATTTGTGCTGAAGGAAAACTGACTGACTGAGGAATATGCAATGGAGCCGCGCAGTGGAGGCGCACAATACGTTGCTCTATAACCCTAATAGAAATAAAGGGAGGGCTGGGGTTTGTTGTATATAAATTGTAAATTTACTTTTAATTTTACCCCACATGACAAAAATGGATCATAGGAAAAATAATACCGGTTGTCCGTCAGAGAGACAGGTTTTTTTTTATAGAATAAGGGTGACAAACGGGCACACAGCCCACCTGATGGTAAGTGGATGCTGTTGCCTGTAGACATTTTTTTATAGGATAGGGTGACAAACGAGTACACATTTCACCTGATGGTAAGTGGTTGCTGTGACCCATAGCAATCCACATCTATACTCAATAAAGAATCAAAATGCAGATGCGTTGTCAACCGTGAGGACTAAGATGGAATGCCTCTTTTCCAGTAAAAAGTGTCGCCGGTTCTCAACACACACCATACGAAACACAGCAGTGTTAAGCTGTTATTTTACGCTGGTATACTGTGAGACATCTACATTTATTCTCGATTAAGAATCAAAATGCAGAATGTTTCCCATGTAAAAGGGTCTCAGATTCTCTATACACACCCTACAAAATACAGCAACATTAAGCTGTTATATTACGCTGGTATTCTGTGAGTGTGTGGTCTTTTCCCGGTCGAGCCGATCCATTCGTGCTACAACCATAATACAGCTGCAGCGTAGCTCTACCACGTAAAGGTGCATGTTAGAAATAAAGGTGGTAGAAATAAAGAAAGAACTGTGGTTTGATGTATCATCATCATTACAGCCCTTCACAAGTCCACCGCTGAACATAGGCCTCCCCCAAGGAATGCCACAAAGCACGGTCCTGAGCCACCTGCATCCATCAACTTCCTGCATATCTTACCAGGTCGTCACTCCATCTAGTGGGGGGACGCCCTACACTTGGTCCGCCGGTACGAGGCCGCCACTCGAGAACCTTTTTTCCCCTGTGGTTTGATGTATATAAAGTGTAATTATATTGTATGTATATTTACTTTAAATTTTACCCAACGTGTACAAAATAAGTAATTACTTATAATTGTTACCGGTATTGCTTATACCGGTTGTTCATCTGGAAGACAGGTTTTTTTTTTATAGAATAAGGGTAACAAACGGGCACGCAGTCCGCCTGATGGTAAGTGGATGCTGTGGCCCGTAGACGTCTACATCAGTCCTCCATTAAGAATCAAAATGCAATTGCGTTGTCATAATATGAAGAACAAGAAAAAGACTCGTTCATAGCAAAGACATTTATGAATTTGCCACTCGTGTAATGCTTAAATAAACAAACTATGACGTCGAGTAATTTATAATCTCAAACCGTCCTAATGTATTGTAAAAAGTCACGCGGAATCACAGTAAACACTTCCTCTTGAGTCATTTTCATGATGGTAACAACAAATGTAATAAGTTTTTGAATTTGAATAATGAAATAAATAGCAAAATATAAATGTGGCTCGCTAATATTGGAGATAAATTTTATTTTAAATGGATTATATTCGTAACTATTAATTTACTTTAAAGACATTATAATAATTTTTAGACTAAATTTTGGTGGATAAAGAAATAGAGAAATGAAGAAGAAGAAAAAGAAAAACGCCTAATGTAATAAAATTAACTAAAATAAATTTATAAAGTTACGGAGACAAAAGTCATATAAGAAACATTAAATTGATTATATTGTATCATATTTACTGCCAAAATGAATACAGGAAGGTAATTAAGCGATAGCCACGCTGATTATGAGCTTATAAAGAAGAAAAAACACGTAGGTATAACATATGAAGTTAGTTATATAATTGAATATTTACATAATATTAAAACTGTGGAGTCAGATTATTAAATCCTAACATATTGTATTGAATCCTATTTCATTCTTATATTTATTATTTAACACACAAATTACTAAAATTACAACATGTTATGCACATAACATTATTTTTCATGAAAAGTGCGAAGTAAATTCGACAAAAACGTACTTACCGTCTTCGTCCTGAATGACATCTGTTGTCAGCTGGACGAGAACTGACACCTCATACGTTTCGAGCTCCAGTTTTTCTCGAACAAAATTTATTCGAATACGAATACTCGGCTTATTTTCTTTATTTCACAATCATACTCACTTCGCTTATCCTTTATAACAACACTGGTTTGTTTTCACGGTTCACAAATTAAATCTTTTGAATGGTTGCAACTTTATCACTTTTTCGTGCACTTGTCGATCAACAGGTTTTTATCAAGAAGTTATCGGCTAGCGTGACGCGAAGATTTTCCTCTTCCGTTCGTTCAATTGTTCCGAATACTACCGTACGTCGTTTGAAAATTGCACGACAATTGCGAGTGATTTTATCAGATTTCTGAAGGAAAATATAAAACGAAATCAAAAATCTTGTGAATGTTTATACGATTTCTTAAAGATTTTTGCGTTGAATTTTCATTTTCTTGCTTTACGCTTTTAGATAATTTGCCAAATACAGATTAATATTAAGTCACACTGGCTGCAAATATTTTTTATAAATTAGTAGATGAGTAATGTACATGGAGTAACACTTTAAAAATAGCAATAATTTAATGGTAGTTTATTTAGTAAATTCAATCAAACAATTGTTTAAAAAGATAAACGGGCGTTTTGAAAAAGCGTTTCCTAAAATATTTCAATTTATTTAATAAGATTCAAAATTTTATTGCTATTGTCAAATTGAGTTCGTAAGATAATTGTTTTATTAATGTTGTAAACTCTTGGATCTCCTTATTATTTTGTACTAAATCAACGTTATGATAACATCTTCATAATCTTTTTTAGTGCGGTGATTTTTTTGAAGGAAATTGTAGCGTTTACTTTGGATTCATCATATTATCTAGTCTTAAACAAAGATTTGTAAATATGTTATATAAGGCGGTTTATCTACTGTCAAGGTTATGTATCTTAGAGAAATGCAAGGTGCTGTCATAAGATTTATTTAACAAAATAATCCAATGTATAACTTAATTAAAATGTAGTGGTACTAATGAGGTCATTCAATTGTTAAAAATCTACAACTTTTTTGTAAGTTACGTCAAAAGTAATTAATAAAGTATTTACTAAATGTAACCAATTAATAAATCATGCATATTAAAATAATTACGTTACTTCTAATAACTTCAAATGACTTAATTTTATTAATCACTATATTCTAACTTTTATTAAAACCTCAAGTTTCACGGTAAATTATATTCAAGTTCGAGCGGCTGAATGCTAATGCAGCCAGCCGTAGACGCTCGAAGCACGTGATCGGCGGAAAATCGCGCGCTTCAACCACACCTCCTTGAACATAAAAGAAAAACCGAACCCACTGACGTTCCATTTCTTAAACACGACATCAGTACATCAAACCTCAGTGGCCGAGTGAAAACAAAACAACTCTAAACACAACGCAAAACGGCGGCGTTTAATTATTATTTCCAGTTCCTACAGCAAGAATAAGATAAAGTTCTAAATGACAGGCTAATTGAATCGTCTTTTCCGCTAATTTAGACTCATTTTACTGTTTGTGTGTTACGCCTGAGCACTTCACATCTCGGATCACCATAACAATGATGCCAGAACAATAACAGCAGATATCGCGTTTTCCGTATAAATTTACAAAAGCAATGAATATTCATTAGGCTTTACGAATTGCTGGTAGCAATGAACACAACAAGACCATTCTGTCACTAATTTACCTACACTCACAAATGAAAATGTACGAAATTATGACGCGCTTGCTGTGTCAAGAGCATCAACCTGATCAAGTGCACCGACGTACAGATTGTTAAATATCACTTATTACTATAGAAATAAATATACAGAAAGTGTCTTATTTAAAGTGAAATTAAAGCAAATCGTAGGACTACACGTTATGGCACTAAACGAACACGATCTTTTCGATAACTTCGTACCTGTTGCGGTACAGCACGCGTGCGACCAATACGACGTTCAGCACTCGAATGCCGGCTCGCGTCTCGTTCATTGTTTACAGCGATAATTACATTTTCGTTTCGATCGAGTTTACGGGTCGAAGGCTTCTCTGCGGAAAATCTGGCTTGTGTCCAGTCAACGTCATTGGTCCCGATTGACAGCGTGATAACGAATAAGGATGTCCCAAGTCCGCTGTTGTTTGATAATTGTTTCACTCATTAGTATTACACGTTCGATTTTCGCTTTTTAACGACACTAATATTTTATACGTAGTAGAGCCACGTTGCAGTTTTTTATGAGTGTAGCACGAGGGGAAAAAACACATTCTCACAGAACACCATCTTAAAAAAATAAAAAGCGGGTCAAGTGCGAGTCGAATGAAGGGTCCGTAACATCGTAAAACACGTTTTTAGTAGGGGAGCCCCAATTAGTTTTAAATTTAATTTAATTTTTATTATCTGTTCTTATATCGGCAATAGAAATACATATTCAAAATGTAAAATTTCAACTGTCTACCTATTACGGATCGTGAAATACAGCCCGCTGACAGACAGACGGACGGACAGTGGAGGCTTAGTAATAGGGTCCCGTTGGTTACCCTTTGGGTACGGAACCCTAATAGCATCTTATGTGCAGTGCTTGGTATCTTCAGTGTAGAGATCCGGGACTGTTTTTACTGAAAACAAGAAATTCCATCTTAGTCCTCGGAGGTGACAATACTGCATTTTTGATTCATAATCGATGACAGATGTAGATGCCTATAGGCCACAGCATCCATCTACCATCAAGTGGACTGTGTGCTCGTTTGTCAGCCTTATTCTATAAAAAATATTCAAGATTCTTGATATGCGTCATACAATTGTGTACACGTGTCATGTATTTATTTTTCATTAATCTTATTTTTTTATATTTACAATGACGTTCATGATTACTATCAGTATCAATACGAATTACGAGTTAACGAGTTTCGTTCAATCCATTTAGAGTATTTTAACGTCGTTCATTGAGTTGCTTGGATATGTTGCGGTTATGTGGTTAATATTATTGTCAAGTAAATCACTATTAACAGAAGTAAATATAATAATACTCAGGCACCTAGATCTATCAATTAATAATCAACTGGTTACTTCGCCTACGCGGATTCCAGATGTGGAGGATCATACACCTTCCCTGTTGGACCTTCTGCTGACCTCTCATCCGGACGGATATCAGGTTTCCGTCGATGCCCCTCTCGGCTCTTCGGACCATTGTCTGATCCGGAGTATGGTGCCACTCACGCTCCCTTCGCGGTTGCGTTCTGCAGGTTGCCGCCGTGTTTGGCATTACAGGTCGGCGGATTGGGACGGAATGCGGTCTTTCTTTGCATCCTACCCATGGGGGCGGGTTTGCTTCTCGCCGGATGATCCCAGTGCTGTTGCTGACTCTGTCACTGATGTGGTGCTACAGGGAATGGAACTATTTATTCCATCATCTGTGGTACCCATCGGAGGCAGATCTCAGCCTTGGTTTGGTCGCTCCTGTAAGACTGCATTGCGCAGTAAGCAGGAGTGTTATCAAGCCTGGGCTGCAGCTTCGGTGACTCGGGATGTAAACACCAGCACACTTAAAAAGAAGTATAACTTCGCCTCCAGGTCCTTCAAAAGAGTTATTGCCAAGGCAAAGTCAGAGCACATAGGCAGAATTGGCGAGAGACTAGTTCGCCTTCCTTCGGGAACCCGTGCATTCTGGTCTCTCGCCAAGGCTGTCCAAGGGAATTTCTGTAAGCCATCACTACCATCTCTGCACAGGGAGGATGACTCACTGGCCCATGACGCAAAAGACAAAGCCGACCTTTTAGGCTCCCTTTTTGCGTCCAACTCGACTCTTGATGACGGGGGGAAAACACCGCCGACCATCCCGCGGTGTGAGTGCTCCATGCCGGATGTGCTGTTCTCACAGCGCTCGGTTCGCAAAGCACTGCTCTCCCTGGACATCCAGAAGTCGAGTGGGCCTGACGGAATCCCCCCAATTGTGCTGAGGACGTGTGCTCCGGAGTTGGCACCGGTCCTAACGCGTCTTTTCCGGTACTCCTACTCCCAAGGCGTAGTCCCGAATTCATGGAAGACAGCTTTTGTCCACCCGATCCCTAAAAAAGGCGACCGCTCAGACCCGTCCAACTATAGGCCTATCGCGATCACCTCCTTGTTCTCCAAAATAATGGAATCCATTATTAACTGCCAGCTCATCCGGTACCTTGAGGATCACCAGCTGATTAGTGACCGCCAATACGGTTTTCGTCGGTGTCGATCAGCTGGTGATCTTCTTGTCTACCTGACCCATAGATGGGCGGAGGCAGTAGAGTCCAAGGGGGAGGCGTTGGCCGTTAGTCTGGACATTGCGAAGGCCTTTGATCGGGTTTGGCACAAAGCGCTTCTTTCAAAGCTGCCTTCCTATGGGCTTCCCGAGAAATTGTGCAATTGGATCACCAGCTTTCTTGCAGATCGGAGCATCAAGGTCGTTGTAGACGGTGCATGTTCTGACTACAAGCCTATTAACGCTGGTTTTCCACAAGGCTGTGTGCTATCACCAACGCTGTTTCTTCTGCATATCAATGATATGTTGCTAACTGGTAACATTCATTGCTATGCGGATGACAGCACTGGTGATGCTCTATACACCGGCCGGGCCAATATTTCTCGGGAAAACGTCGCCGAGTACCGGAACAAACTTGTGTCTGAAGTCGAGTCTTTGCTGGACAAAGTCTCGGATTGGGGGCGACTAAATCTAGTCCAGTTTAATCCTCAGAAGACACAAGTTTGCGCGTTTACCGCTAAAAAGAACCCCTTTGTCGTATCTCCTCAGTTTCAAGGCACTCCCCTTCTTGCCTCAGCCAGTATCGGTATCCTCGGAGTCGACATATCGAGTGACGTGCAGTTTCGTGGTCACTTGGAAGAGAAGGTCAAATTGGCCTCTAAAAAGCTTGGCGTGCTCAGCAGAGCGGGACAGTATTTCATGCCGGCACACCGCCTGCAACTTTACAAGGCGCAGGTTCGGCCTCACATGGAATACTGTTCCCATCTCTGGGCAGGGGCTCCCCAGTGCCAGCTCCTTCCACTTGACCGCATCCAGCGCAGAGCGGCTCGAATCGTCGACGACCGAGCCCTTTCCGATCGGCTCGATTCATTGGCACTGCGAAGAGATGTTGCATCTCTTTGCATTTTCTTTCGCATCTACCATGGGGAGTGCTCTGAGGAATTGTTCGGATTAATCCCAGCCGCCAAATTTCACGAACGCACATCGCGGCAGAACTCCCGATACCATCCACACCATCTGGATGATTGGCGGTCCACCACTGTGCGATTTAGAAGATGTTTTCTTCCTCGCACAACTTCCTTGTGGAATAGTTTACCACCAGGGATTTTTCCGGACCGATACGACTTAGGGACCTTCAAGAAAAGAGCCTACTCCTTTTTAAAAGGCCGGCAACGCATCTGCAATTCCCCTGGTGTTGCGGTTGTTCATGGGCGGCGGTAGTCACTTACCATCAGGTGAGCCGCATGCTCGTTTGCCCCCTCTCCTATAAAAAAAAAAAAAAAAAAATCACAATGTAGATGCGCTCTCGTCTCTGAGGTTAAAAGGTTAAAACGGATCTCGGGTTATCATCATATGTTTTACTCCATGGTAGGACTCGGAGTCCGAGTAGTTACTAGGAGGCCGCCTGGGTTACCATCCTCTTAACTATTTCTGCCACGTAGCAGTGCTTGAGCTATAGAGAGGGCTATATATATGCGTGATAGACTTTGTAATGAGGATATCCACAGTAGAGAACTCGTTGGGCTGATTCGGTTACTCTTTTAATAATCGGCCGATAAAGAACCACTTTTGGATCAACAAACAAACTGACCGCCACCGTAGAGTCTATATCACCTGAGGATGCCTCGTGTAGAGGCGAAACACGTGTCGTATTATCGTCAGTGGTGTGTCTTGCCTAGTGTAGTGGTGTTGGGAGTAGCGGTGCTGGGATTAGTGGTGGCGGGGATGGTGCGCGCAATTGAGGGAGGGCGGGAGGTGCTTCTTCATACTAGGTAAGACACATCATTTTATTTTATAACGCGGATATTTGCGAAGTAAATTCTTGTTCTTCAGTCCCTCTAAAACTTGTTAGCTATCCTGGGTGTAAATTTGCAAGTTACGAATATAATTTATCTTCATCAATTGTGAACCAATTTTCAATAAAATAAATTATATTTCAGGAGTGGTCACAAACAAAATTGGAGAAAAACTTACAAGGTAAATTGGGGATATGAAGTTATAATGGAGCTATTGAGACGCCATTGAGATTGTGATATTAGTCCACTTGTCAATCTTGTGTTAGCACCGGTTTCAATCGTAAATCCGAATGTATAATTATTTTATATTCTTTTTAGTTGTTTGAAGATGGTGTTTATTTTTGTAAAAAGTTGTTTTTAATATGTTATTGTTGTTGATGCCGTTACATTTCAAAATTTACTCAGATTTAAGAAAACTTCAGTCCTAATAAATTTTCTGCCTAGAAGGTCATCGTGGTTGGTACCAATTTTAATACAGTGTCTGCTGCCAAACATCAGTTTATCCACTCGTGCACAGCTGCGTTACAAATTTGTATAGTAAAAGTACGGATGCAGGTGGCTCAGGACCGTGCTTTGTGACATTCCTTGGGGGAGGCCTATCTTCAGCAGTGGACTTATGAAGGGCTGTAATGATGATGATGTTAGAAATTTAGTTACTATTTCTTAGTAGTTACCGCGCGTTTGGGCTGCTTTCTTTAAAGTTAGGTGCAATCGTCGCTTATCAACAGATGGCCATACCGTGCGGTAGGCAGCATACGATAATCCGAAGACAATTGTAAGATAATCCATCAAACAATTTCGTCTCGTAGATATCGTAAGAGGTGACTAAGAGTAACGTCAGTGTTGACATCTCAACAGAAATAATTGGAGTTTGGTCAATAGTCACTTCTTCACCTGCGAAGAAACGAAGCGCTTGCTTGTGTCTGCTATAGCTTCCGATAGA